GCCCGGCTAATTTTTTTTTTACATTTTAGTAGAGGTGGGATTTCACCATGTTGGCCAGGTTGGTCTCGATCTCCTGACCTTGTGATCCACCTGCCTTGGCCTCCCAAAATTCTGGGATTATAGGTGTGAGCCATATTTTACCGTAAATTAAAAAAATGGTAAATGTCTAAAAGACCAAACAAAAATTCATTAGGATAATGGTCCACTTCTGTATTTAAGGAGTTGATGGAGACTCTTAAGAAGCTGGTCCAAGCCCCCTAAACCCAGAGCTGGAGGAAGACCTTGCTGAACAGATGAGGTCATAGAGGCAGAAGCCCCAGGGGTGGTGGAGAGACAGGCATTGGAATGAGAGTCTGGAAACAGAGTCTGGACTGCAGGTAGGGTGGGACTGAACCCTCCCTGTGCCCAGTCCTCTGTCATGCACCCCAGGCCCACCTTGATCTTGGAGCCGGCAGTGCTGGGGCGCCCCTTCTTGTCTCCATCCAGCTTCTCAGGGAAGAGCATCCGGAGGAAGGCCCTGGGTGGGGGAGGGGAAAAGAGGAGTTGGAGGTATGGCTGGACCTTGGGATGCCCACCTCCAGAGGCAGGGCAGCCTCAACGCCGCAAGGTGAAATATGGTTCTCTCAATGAGGATGGGAGCTGTGATGGGTGAGACACAGAGGGTTTTTTTTTTTGTTTTGTTTTGTTTTGAGACAAACAGTGGTACAATCTCAGCTCACTGCAACCTCCGTCTCTTGGGTTCAAGCGATTCTCCTGCTTCAGCCTCCCAAGTAGCTGGGATTACAGGCACATACCACCATGCTCAGCTAATTTTTGTATTTTTTAGTAGAGATGCGGTTTCGCCACGTTGGGCAGGCTGGTCTCAAACTCCTGACTTCCATTGGTCCACCCGCCTCAGCCTCCCAAAGTGCTGAGATTACAGGCATGAGCCACTGCACCCGGCCTTGGTTTGCTTTTTGAGACAGTGTCTCACTTTGTCCTCCAGGTTGGAGGGCATTGGTGCGATCATAGTGACTGCAGCCTGGAACTCCTGGGCTCAAGCCAATGTGTGAATGTATTTAATGCCACTGAATTGTACATTTAATTTAATTTGATTAAATTAATTAATTTATTTTGAGAGGGAGTCTCACTCTGTCACCCAGGGTGGAGTGCAGTAGCGTGGTCTCAGCTTGCTGCAACCTCTGACTTCCGGGTTCAGGTGATTCTTGCACCTCAGCCTCCTGAGTAGCTGGGACTACATGTGTGTGCCATCACACCCGGCTAATTTTTGTGTTTTTAGTAGAGACAGGTTTCACTGTGCTGGCCAGGCTGGTCTCGAACTTGTGACCTCGTGATCCACCTACCTCAGCCTCCCAAAGTGGGTGAGCTACCGCACCCAGCCCATTTTACTTTATGTGTTTATTTCCTTTATTTTTCTTTGCCACAGAGGGGGAACAGCATGGATGAATTGTACATTTTAAAATGGTTAATAGGGCTGAGCACGGTGGCTCACACCTGTAATCCCAGCACTCTGGGAAGCTGAGATGGGTGGATCAACTGAAGTCAGGAGTTTGGGACCAGTCTGCCCAACATGGCAAAACCCCATCTCTACTAAAAATACAAAAATTAGCTGGTCATGGTGGTGGGCACCTATAGGTGCCCAGCTACTCAGGAGGCTGAGGCAGGCGGATCATGAGGTCAAGAGATTGAGACCATCCTGGCCAAAATGGTGAAACCTTGTCTCTACTAAAAATACTCAGAAGGCTGAGGCATGAGAATCGCTTGAACCCAGGCAGAGGTTGCAGTGAGCCAAGATTGCACCACTGCACTGCAGCCTGGGTGACAGAGGGAGACTCTGTCTCGAAAAAAGAAAGAAAGAAAGAAAAAAGAATGTAGCATTAGTTGTAAGTAATAAGACAGAGATCCTCAAAGTGTTTGACATGTGGTTCCTGGACCAGCAACCTGGGCATCCTTGGGCCTTGTTTCCAATATGGAATCTCCCTAGGCAGAAGGATCACTTGAGGTCCCGAGTTCAAGACCAGCCTGGGCAATGTAGCAAGACCCCTATCTCAAAAAAGTGTTTTAAATTATTATTTTTTATTTATTTATTTATTTTTTTTTTGAGACGGAGTTTCACTCATGTTACCCAGGCTGGAGTGCAATGGCGCGATCTCGGCTCACCGCAACCTCCGCCTCCTGGGTTCAGGCAATTCTCCTGCCTCAGCCTC